TATATATATATATATTCAAGCCGTGGATGCTTGAATCTGTGGATAATTCATGGATACAGAGGTCCAACTGCAGTTTCTTCTGCTGTCAAAAGACATTGTGAGCCTATGTCGTCTTTTCCTCAATGTTTTGCATAATAAGAAAAAGAAGGATGGAAGAAGGAGAGGGAAACCATAGGCTGTAAATGGAAGAAGACATTTCCCTCTTTCCTCATAAAATTGATTGAATCAGACCAAGCCATTCTGGAGATTATCCCAACTGGAGCAGATGTGTTCAATCAATTGAATTTACATGACTATGAGAGCCAGTGAAGTGTAGTGGCTTGATCTACGGACAATGAGTCTAGGAGACAGGAAAAAGAAACCAGGACATTTTAAAAGCGGCTGAAAAAGTGGGACAACAGATTAATATGGACCGTCTCTGCTAAAATGGGGCAGTTGGAAGGTATAAAGTAGCATTCTTGTGCTACTTGAACATGACAAATATAGATCTGCATGGATCATACCCCCAATGCCTAACCCAGTGTCCCCTGTAGAAATAGTAGCTGCTGTTCCTTAATACTTAGGTCTAATCTGCTCTGCAGAAATAATGCAAGTATGACACCACTTTTACTGCCATGGCTCAATGCTATGGAATATTTGGATTTTTAGTTTATTGTGGTACCAGAGCTCTCTGACAAAGAAGGCTAAATATCCCGCAAAACTAAAAATCCTAGAATTCCCTAGCACTGAACCATGGTAGTTAAAGGAGTGCAGTGCAGATTAGACCTTGGTCGTCCATCCAGCCTAATGTCACTTTCTGCAGCCCAGCTACCAGCTTGTAAACTTCTGGGCATAGCTTTTGAAAGTTGCTTGTATGGACTGCAGCTCCCAGGACCCCGCAGACAGAGAGAGAAATAAATAAGCCAGTGCTGTTTCAGTGGATTTGCTTGGTTGCTTCCATAGGCTTTATTAAATTAAGTATTTTATACAAAATGTCAAAAAAAAATAAGTCAGAGGAAAAAATGATGACAATAGCACATCCTGCTATAAATAATTTTATTAAGAATATTAATATAGGTTTTTTTTGCAGCTATACATATAAAATCACATATATATATTATATTTTATTATATTAATATCAAAACTAGAAACGAAACATCTTTAGGGCAGGAATGTGTGCCCTAAAAAGAGACCATAATACCAGTGTCAAGGAATCAGAGGCTGTACTGAAAAGAGATAGGATTAGATGCTTCCCAACCCCTAATGAAATGGAGAGGGCATGCGGAGGTTTGCAAAGGGCAGAAATGCTACTGTTAGCATTTTACAAGGACCAGAAAAGAGGTGAAGATTTCTTCAGTTCTCTTCAACAGATGAGGCAATTTTGCAAAAGAATTAGTTCAATGCTGAGGGAGCGAAGTTGCCTATGGAAGTGTGTTCTGCAGCATAGAAATGGGCTTTAAATTGAGTGAAAACAATACCACTTTACTCCCCTGCGCATTTAGGACATAGTTTTATTCTTATTTTCCACCTCAACGCACAGATTATCTGTCTTTTGCAAGGGTGACTGGCAAAAATGAATTGCCACTGTTGAATCTCTGTGTCTGCTACCCAAGAGCCCCAACAACACACAATCTAAATTGGAAAGACTAGCAGCCATCTTGTGTCTACTCCTAACCCACAAATCCACTCCATCATCAGAGCTATTTGGCTGTATTTAAACCAAGGAACATCATTTCACGGTGCATGAGGTGAAGGAAGACTTTCCCTTCCTTCAGGAAGCTAGAATTTGTTTGAACAGTTCCGACTGACTGAAACCAGACAACTTGGCACCTTTGTTCTGTTCTTCATCGTAGATGTCAAACTAATGCCATTTCCTGTGCTGGCTTGTCCTCAAGAACACAACCTCTCTACCCTTTTTGCATTCAGAGGCCACTCTACCTCTCATAAAATGACTGCTATGGGAAAGGAGTGCTTTTTTTCCAAAATGGCTGACATCACCCTCACCCATCTTTCTTCTCTCACAGTAGGAAGGCTGCCAAGCCTTGTCAATAAGTGTGGTGGTAGCGGCAACTGCTGCTTCAGGGCCAGCTCAAGCCATTTTGCTGCCCAAGGCAAGACAAGATGCTGGGAATACACATTTTCCATCACAGTGGGCAACATGGCCTCTTTAGGGGAACAGGATAACCCATACCGCATGCACAGCAATATCCTTTGGTACAGCCAGTGGCTCAGGCAAAAGAGCCAAGGGATTGCTGTTGCCACCCATCCATATCTGCCACATGAGGCGGCTGCTTCAAGATGCCTAATGGTACGGCTGATTCTGAGCAGCCCCTTGAAAACAATTCCTCATCTGTAAGCTTGTATTAAAAGAAAGATAGTAAGAGAAGATGGATAGCTCAGTTTTGCAAGGGTGGTGGTGCAGTATTAAAACCTTTTTACCACAAGGAAAGGGCTTTCGTCAGCCTGTCAGTTGGTAGAGAAAAAGATATCACCCTTCTATTTTACCTCTCTCACACACACACCTCTACAAAAAATGGTGGCCAACTCAGGCGGTGTGCCTGAGGGACTTAAGAGCCACAGTAAGGAAGAAAATTCAGGCAGGGTATTTGGCGGCCAAGAGGGCCATATCTTTTTGGCAACGCTTGGCCCAGTCCCGGTATAGATAGCAAATGCTGTAGCCAGTGAGTTTCATGACAAAAGCGGCCTCAATCCCTGGCGGCTCTGCTGGCGTCACAGGGCCAGGTACGATGCCCATGGAAGCCATGATGGATTTAAGGTTGTTTACCAGACCGAGGCAATGGAGGCCTGAGTTCTCAAGCTGGCAATGGAGTTCTGTAGCTTTGGGGTTCAGCTCGACTTGTTGGCGCTTCACAGCTGCCAGGTACTCTGGCAAACTGGAGAAAGCTCCGACGTTCTGCTGCAACCGTTCGGCATCGCTAAGGTCCAGCCAGGCTGTGGCTGAAAGTATTGGCAATGGCAGCCCTGGGAAGGACTTGACAGGAGGGCTAAAATCAGGATCCCCAAAGGGCTCGTTCTGGAAACATACCTAAAAGGAAGCAAACAAAAACACACAAGACAGTCAGAACTGTTCAACCCATTTTTGACATTTGGACCCCACCCTTCCTCCAAGGAACGTGAAGTGGGTGGTGTCGGCGCATGAGGCGAT